AAACGTGGCAACTCGAGTTGCTGCACTTCGGTGCGAAGTTCTATGTTGAATCCAGACAGACAGAATTTCCTGGAGTTCCAGTGAGAAGTCGTGACCAGTGAGGTCTTTCTAATCGGGATTGAGGATGGATTTTCCACCGATGACATTGTTTGGTGGTTGCGGTAAATGCATCACGAAATGGTAGAAGTTAGTATTCGTGGGCCTTTGGATCGGGTTCCAGTGGCTGAAGGGTATACGAGCTTGTCTTGTAACCGGAAGGTCCTGGGTTCGAACCTTGCGTGGGTTGGGTGCGTACTGCCGATGATTCCCAAACTAGGAGAATGAAACAGCTGGCTATCTAGTACTCTTCGTGTCTGGTTTTCAATAGTTCTCTAACTGATATCAATCCGTGATCAAACTCGTTAAACAAGCTTAGCCTTACACAAACTGAGTCCTGGGCTATCAAATGGCTGCACTCTTACTTCTCCAATAGGATGCAGTACACGGTATATCGTGGTGTAGCTTCCTCTCCTTTGCTTACTGAAGCTGGTGTTCCTCAGGGTGTTGTTCTCTCGCCGTCTCTCTTTTCCTTCTTCTTACATGACTTACCTCTCTCAGACGAAATCAACTTCGTCAAATATGCAGATGACCTGACTGTTTCGCTTCCCGTTAAGTCTCAGTCAGACTGCTTCAAATTAAATAGCTTCCTGTCGGACATCAGTCAGTGGTCTAAACTAAATGGCCTAACGCTGAATCCCTCAAAATGCCAGACTGTCGACTTCTCCTTTAGGCACAAACGAGATCTACAAACACTAGTAAGCACTCATGATGTCTGTAGAATTGAGGGGACTATAATTGAAACAAAGTCTAATGCAAAATACATGTGAATACATGTGAGAAATGGTCTAAAACCATACTCTCTGACTGCCAACACCCCCTCTATTCCCAACTCTCTCCTTGCATCTCATCAGGTAGAACCAGAAATCAGTACAAAATAATATATGCTCGTACAACCAAGTATAGGAACTCAACGATACCATATTTGGTCCGTGTTCTAAGTGACAGAGACAATGTTAAGCGTGAAACCTATGACTTGCTTTGTTGTTAATAACATAATTTTGGCCCTTGTTATTTCCCCCTTACACTCTCTTATTTGTACTCTATAGTGAACAACCTTCTTAAACATACTTAGCTGCTTAAAATTATTATCATTGGCTTACATTTTTATTCTTTATTCTATTCCTTCTTTGTACATCTACTGGGTCCGACTATATTATCACTATGATTATTACAAAATTGTCCCGTCATTAATCATCATGTAACATTAGTTTTGTGGTTGTTCTTTGTTCGGCACTATTTAACTGACAATCTTGTTTGTTATTGCCACTATCACCATCTTGAAAAATTTTGTATTATGCATGATTCCTCACACTACCACTACAAACACTGCATTAGTGCTGACAATAAAAAAAACACAACCTGAAATGTTTATCTTATGATTGCTTAGTGTTGTTCAATCAAATTAACTGATCATCTTAGCTATAAACATTTTTTTAAGAACATCTCATAATTTCCCGTATGATTATAGCTGTTACTGTTCACCACGCATACTCATATCGTAGCTTCCACTAACCAATACTGAAATATTTTTTCATTATTTGTGTTTATCTTCCTTTTTACTTGGTATTTTTATTGCATTTTTTTGTTATTTCTGTGTTTCTTTTTTGGTTTTTTGTTGTTATTGTTTCTTTTTGTTTTTTTAAATTTTTTTTTTATAATACTCCTTTTAAATGTACGATGAAATTAGATGCAATATTGTAGATATGTGCTGAAAATTCCACACTGTACCACAAGTACTGTTTCTGGAATAAAGCGAAATTGTTATTGTTATTGTAAAAACACATCTAATCTTTACAAAACAACTCTTGAAAATAATATAACTGGTATATATAACACTAAAAATTAATGGTATTTGGCTAGACTGTGTTATGATAACTGCGTATATATTCTCTTGTCAGAATTCGTTCAATTTAATAGTTGCTTTTTTTTGAAATATAGTCTACGTGTTTCGACTTAAACTACAATGAGAAAGCGTTGTTTTAAGCGCGTTAATCAAGCATACTCATTAAAAAACAAAACATGAAGTCTTTTATTAATTGACGTAAAAGGCAAGAACAAAAGAAAGTAACACACGCACACACACATGCGAATTCTTGTCAATTGAAGCGTTGTTGAGTGCTGCTTTCAACGCCCTTGTTCACACATACATACACATGCCATACAGTAATCAAACTATTGATATAAGTATAAAACTTGGGCACTGTGGTAGAGTATAATTCCATTATAGATAAGATTTTATTTTGATAAATCGCACAGTGTTTACAGTTATATGAACTGTTCATATATACAGTTCATATAACTGTAAACACTGTGCGATTTATCAAAATAAAATCTTATCTATAATGGAAGTAATCAAACTAATTTGTGTTTTTTTAAACCACACTAACATGGTGTAGTGAAAATTGATTAATGCCAGGCTGTCAAATTAATTTTATTTTTTTTTTAGTAATTATTGGAAAGTGTCACTGACTGACTGTTTTCAACTTTGTACAGATGTGCAGCAACACTTCGAGTTGCCACGCCCCCTCCATGTAGCACACAAAGCAAGAGAAGAAAGTAAAAAGAAATACAAAATAGAGACAGTAAACAGAGATATGAGGCAAAAAGAACTGTAATATCACCAATTGTCTCCAGCCATTGGTTTTTACTGTCCCGAGGACCCCAACCAGTCGGGAAGTCTACACCACCCTACATGGCTGACTGGCTTAAACTAACTGTTGTGGATTTCACTGACTGATGAAGCCATGTTTTGACTTGACCACCACTAGCTCTTCTCCAACCTGATCCATTCTATGTCAGCTAACATTGCCCGTCGAGGAAGGCGATGACTAGGCATACGTAACACATGACCTAACTATCCCAGTCGATGTAACTTCACACCCTCGTCGATTGATTTCCCCTCCCACCTACCTAGCACTCAATGGACACCTAACCTCAATATTGCTAACCTTATAATACCACTTCATTCGGGAGATATAGCGCAGGCACCTATTATCAAAGGCAGCTAATCTTTTCATGTCTTCCACTCTCAATGGCCAGGTATCACAGCTAGTCATAAAGGAGGACGAAGCGGCGTAAACTGGCATATGCGAAAGTAGCCTTCTGTATCCGTGCTGAGCTTTCGTCAACAATCAACTCGCTGGCACTATCTGATGCAACTCCTCAAATAAGTGAAGTGGTCAATACGCTCCTCCAATCACTTCACTCCTTATCTCTAAGCTAGGAGTCAATGTGGTCCAGTCCACTAGCATCATCTTACATTTGACAGTGAACCTCCCCGCCATCCACCACGTACGCGAATGGGATATAGACACTGGTCCGCCGTCTGTAGGTGAGGTTACAAAAGCTAAGACAATAGGTGACATGGCTCAAAATCCTTGTCAATGGCCAGCGCAGATGTATTCAGTCCCTGTAATCTTTCATATTCCTTTCTACCATTACCCATTCTGTTTCACTCTTATACTTGTCAGACTGTATTGATTCTCTTCACTCATCTTCTTGTCTACCTTTGTGTGTGCTATTTGAAACGTGGCAACTCGAGTTGCTGCACTTCGGTGCCAAGTTCTATGTTGAATCCAGACAGACAGACAGCAGGAGTGAATTGCATGTCATGCATTCGCAGATTGTAACTCAAGGTGTCAACAATATTTTGGCTCTCCTGCCCACCTTAATTATATGAACTTGTATTACCTCGTGCTGCCTTTTCGTGAAATATTACTTAGTGTTGTGTAACTGTATTAAGTAGGTCGTATACTCACTGGAAAGATATTGGTACTGTTGCTTAATCTTAAAGGTCAGAAGTCCAACTATGGAACAATTCACTTGTATATTATTATTTTTAAATCTATTAAAACAAGCTTGGTACACTATGGGCACCAAAAGGTGTGCCATAAAAAATCTGATACCTCGTGTGAGGGCTGAGGTACTTTACGGACTTCCAGACCTAAACAGACTGTTGTCTTAAGTGACCAACCCCTAGCCTGCGACTTGAAGTCTGACTCATAAGGCACTGGAGCAGCGTTAGGAGCTACAATCTCATGTGGTTGACGGTGATCAAAACAGTTGCATACTTCATTCAATCCGTTTGGATTGTAGAGCCCATGTGCACCATATAATTTTGGTGTCAGGGTTTTTCAGCTCCCTAAAGTCGATATGGATGTCCACCAGTCCGAGTATAAACACTAGACGTTCGCATTTTTCCTTTCACTTAATTTTTTGAGGAACACCTCTGCGTTTACATGAAGACAGTGACGAAGAGGACTTACCTGTGTAGGGGGGTTGGGGAGTCTATGAATGCATGGCCCCATGAGAGCACTTCGAAAGAAAGACTGAAGTCTACCCAATCTTGGCCCCCTACCAGGTCGTTTATAGGGACACGTGTATAACTGTGTGCAGGGTCATAAGAGTCATACATTTTCCTCTGTGCAAAGTCTTAGACTGCTGTGTCAATCACGTGGCTGCTTCAACCTCTCTAGGTAGAATTGGATTCAAACGTCATTGAATGATTAAAAGTCGACTGCTTTGTCAACTGGGCTGCAATTCCACCCCACATACTTTTTTTAATTTAAAATTTACTCACTTGTCGATAGGTAGACCAAAAATAGTTATTTTATTGTTGCCTAATCCTTGGACGTTTTGAGTAGAGCATAGGACTTCAAGCTAAAGTTTTGAAGTCTTGGTAGTATTGGTTCTATTTTTACGAGATAGGGTTGCTAACCTCATGCCCAGCCTTCCTCCCTTACCTGTCTGACTACGGCTTAGCGAGGTTCAGGAGTATGTTGGCCGGGGATCGAACCCCAAGGTTGGCGAGCGCTCTAGCGCTGAACCACCGACCGACTAAAAATAGTAAATGCTGATATTTATTTTCCTTAACTTTTAACCTTTTTATTTCACTACTTCAGTCCTCAAAGATCAGGCCAGAGCACTTATTTACAAATCATTTCAAGATTGTTCAAGAGGTATGCGTGAGGTGATATTCTATGAACGTGTTTTTTCACCGGATGCATCAGAAGCATTTAAACTATTGCGTCAATTCATTCCAATGTATCATGGAATATTTCAGTGTCCATCGACTAAAGGTAAGTAGAATGTATGTGCTTAATTATTCATTATTTTTAATTGAATATATGCTAACTGGACAGTTTCATTTGGTATTCAGATTATAGGGTGTTTTGGAATAATATCAGTTAGGGAGATCATTAGAAACCACGGAGTGCTGGACAAATGTTTCGTCCTTATTTTGGGACTCTTTAGCAGTGTATCCACATGACCCCGTCTCTAGGAATCGAACACAGGCCTTATAGACTGCCAGATCAAACTGTTTGACCATTCATCAACTACTTGGACTGGAATTCAATGACCCGTACATTCTAACTTTGTTGTTAACTTGTGAGGTGTAGCGCTACCCTCACCCAGTCCCTTCGATGAGCATCCACTCCAACATGATTTGAGATTCGACTGTGAACTGGAGCTTAAATCTGCCATTTGCTGCTTGAGAGTTGAATACGTGGACCAGTTAGCTACAATTCTATGCTTGTGAAAAATAACTGTCTTCTTCTCATTGTGTACTAGTCATTGGGATACATTTTGAGTTCGGCATAAGACAGGCAAGTTATTCAATGAGACGACTTGTCTGAGTCGTTCCAGCTCCCCGTCGATTGTATCACTGGAACATATCCTTCTTATTCTTGAGGATAAGGAGTGGATCAGGTTTCTCTTTCTTCTCAGAGAGACCCAACTATGAAAATTAGTGTACTGACCATTCTATGTTGGTTTCTTGTAGATCGATCTTTGAAGAGAACCATCAGATCTCCTTTTTAGAAAACATCCAAAAAATGGAATTCCGAGTTAATCTCTGATTCCGACATGAAATGGATGGCATGATAGCAACTGTTAAACTCTTGAGTTATCAATTCGATGTCGGTATTGTCGTCACATGTGATGAAAGTATCATCCATGTATCTTTGGTACAAATAGAAAATATCTATAGTAGGCTGTAAAATACTATTCTGCAAGCTTGCCAAGAAGAAGTGTGCAAGTAAAGGACCCAATGGTGATCCCAAGAATAAGGAGGATATGTTCCGGTGATACAGTCCATGGGGAACTGGGTCGACTCAGACAAGTCCTCATAGAGAATGGATATCCTCCAAGATTTATCGGAAAAACATGAAGTTAAGGGAAAAGCCTGAAAGAACCCAGACGGTGCCCAAGAAACTGCTATTTATGATCGTTGAATTTAAAGGTGGTGATACCGCAGCTGAGATACTGAAGAATCGCTTATGCAGATCACTGAGCGAAGCCTTCTTTATGGCTGAGCTACGTATCAATTTCTACAGCCGACAAATGATCAACGGATGTGTGAAGGATAAACTGCCGCTTTGGACGGGCCACCTCAATGTGTGTTTATAAATTCACCTGCTCTTGTGAAGCTAGTTATATTGGCCGCACAACTTGGCGAACACATTCCAAACGCATCTCTGAACATTATCCGGCTTGGTTAGCGAAGGGACAATTTGTGAGGTGTAGTGCCACTCTCACCCAGTCCCTTCGATGAGCATCCACTCCAACATGATTTGAGATTCGACTGTGAACTGGAGCTTAAATCTGCCATTTGCTGCTTGAGAGTTGAATACGTGGACCAATTAGCTACAACTCTATGGTTGTGATCAGTAATTTTGTCTTTGTCTCATTGTGTACTAGTCATTAGGATACATTTTGAGTTCTGCACAAGAGAGGCAAGTTATTCGATGAGATTTAAATGGAAAAGAACAAGAAGAGAAGTTCAGCAAAGGCATCTTTTCGGCAATTTTGTCCTCAAAAACAGCTGTACAATCGCATTTATTATAAACATCAGTTTACATAAATACAATTATTACTTGATTCCTAAAGAAAATAAAAAACAATTCAGGGAAGAAAATTTTTTTTCATCGACGAAATCACCTCCAGAGGTTGTACAGTCGTATTTATATTTACCAAAAACACGTATAGTAGTAGCCTATTATTGAATAATAATAGGTGGATGGGGTGACATAATTGATATAATCACTCAGAAGTTGCTTTAGAAGTAAAAATAAAACTAGTTAATTACTAAGTCTGTCTGTTTGTCTGTTTTCGATGTGCAGCAGTTCAGTTGCCACAACCCATGCAGCACACAAAGCAAGAGAAGAAAGTAAAAGAAATGCAAAATAGAGACAGAAAACAGACATATGAGACAAAAGCCTGGCTGGCTTAAACTAACCATTGTGGATTACATTGACTGATGAAGCCATGCTTTGATTTGACCACCACTGGCTAGCTCTTTTTCAACCTGATCTATCCTACGTTAGTCAGCTAACATTGCCCGTCGAGGATGGCGATGACCAAACATACTTCACAAATTACTTAGTACTCATCGGCACAAAGGAAGAAAGGGTTAGAAATTTTGCTAAGGTTAAAATTCCCATTGAGCGGTAATAAAGGTAGTCGAGTGTCCATTTAACATGTGTGAAGAGGGCGAGGAAATATACAAAAAGAACATTCGAGAGTGATAATAGTGAATTAATTATTAAGGCAAAAGCAAACTAAAGTTGAATTGGAAATTAATATCACATAGTTCCAACTGTAATTCAACCTGATCGATCTCAAATTTGATCTCTAATTGAGTTCAGTTAGAGGACCATTCAGAACCAACTGGAAGTATTGAACACAGCTATTTTTTCCTTCTTTAGGTATCTTTAGTACTCAGCGCGCACCCATAAGAGGTTGAACTCAGGACCTTTATGTTACAAGGGGGACGCTTTGACCATTTAGCTACTGGGACGTTATGTCGCAAATCGACATTAATGGGCAATTGTATTCCATTCCAGTGACTGGAATGGTTGGCGAACTCGCCTCGTAACCTGTAGGCCATGGGTTCGTTCCCTGGTGGGGATTGATCCTTACAAGCTGGATTCACGAGAGGCAAATCATGTGCAGATCAAATTACAACTCTACGCGTCATCATCGAATAAAATTTCTACCTCAACTTTATTGACTGTGAAAAGGCCTTCGACAGCGTGGATGGAAACTACTTCAACACAGTGGCACTTCTCAGGCAATCCACAACGGAAAACCCAGTGATGCGCCTGGAGTGAGGACAGGAGTAAGACAAAGATACTTACTGTCGCTGATGGCATTCCAAGTTGTGATGCGCTGGATTATTTGAAAGACTATAGGAAGCAAGAAGACAGCAATACGCTGGACGACCGATAAGAAGACTTTAGAAGATCTGGATTTCATGTGTGGATGAGTTATGTTTAATTTCACACAAACTTGAAGATATACAGACGAAAACTAAAAAAAAACTAGCTGAAGAAGCAGGCAGTGAAAACAGGATTCCAGGTGTCAAGGAAGTTAACCCTAAGTTTCTATTATTTGCGAAGATGCTCCGAATCGATAATTACTATGACCGATTACCGACTTTAACTCCAGAACACAAGGACTAGTAAGAAATTATATTCTTCGGCAGTTATATTCGATATCATTACAAAGTCTATAAACAACGCCGCAATCTACAAATGTTTGGCATGCGATTCGCTCCAGCCAAATGCAAGATGATGTTACAGGACTGGACTACATCGACGCTTAGTTTAAAAATAGGAAGTGAAGTGGTAGAGCACGTTGACCGCTTCACGTATTTGGGAAGTACCTTCAGCCCCAACGGGCTGATCTCTGACGAAATCTCAGCACGAATACATGGGGCTCGTTTCGCATATGCCAGTTTACTCCGTATCTGGCGTAGACGAGATGTTCGACTATCGACCAAAGGGCGGGTGTACTGCTCACCAGTCCGCTCCGTCCTCCTTTATGGTTGTCAGACCTGGCCACTGAGAGTGGAAGACATGAAAAGATTAGGTGTCTTTGATCATAGGTGCCTGCGCTCTATTTCCCGTGTGAAGTGGCATAATAAGGTGAGCAACATTGAGGTTAGGCGTAGAGTTTTAGGTAAACAGGAGAAATCAATCGACGAAGTCGTGAAGTTACAAAGACTGAGATGGTTAGGACATGTGTTACGCATGCCTAGCCAGTTATCGCCTCCCTCGACGAGCAATGTTAGCGGATATAGGGTCAGGCTGGAAAAAAGCTAGCCAGCGGCGGTCAAACAAAAACTTGGCTTCACCAGTCAATGAAATCCACAACAGTTGGTCTAAGCCCCGTAGGAAGGTGTAGACTTCCAGGCTGGGGTCCTCGGGACGGTAAAAATCTATGGTTGGAAACAATTGGTGACATGGCTCAAAATCGTTCTCAGTGGCTAGCGCAGACGCATCCACTCCTTGTGACTTATGATCTCCAATGAAACTGTTTTGTTCTTCGTTGTTACTCCTCCTTTGTCTCACACCTCTGCTTACTGTCTCTATTATGCTTTTCTTGTACTTTCTTCTCTTGCTTCTCGTGCTACACGGAGTGTGGCGACTTGAACTTCCGCACATTTGTGAACAGTTCTATGTCGAAAACAGACAGACTATAAACAGACATTTTACAAGGAATGTATTGTACTTTTATTCGTATTCTTTTGTCTTCTTCCAACTTGTAAACGATTGAATCATTCGCGCCTTCGAGTTGCCCCGTCACTGGCCACCAGGACCAACAAACCAACGTTCAATGTTCACGTTCATTTACACCAGGTGATCATAGAGAAGATAGAGGTGATGAAAATAACCAACCAACAAGAACAACAACCAGTACGCATCACTGTCAACGGGAGAAGTTTGAAAGAGGTCACTTCCTTCAATTATCTGAACAAGTAGCATTGTTTGAACAATAGGCACATCGAAAGGACGAAGATGTCAAAGCCAGTCAGTAAGCCAGAATCCGAAAGGCAGGATACACCCTTAATCAACTTGAAATCAGTTTGGAAATCGTCTACACTCACTCAGCCAGCATATAAACAACAAGACTCGGATTCTGTTCAACACAAATGTTAAGCCAGTCATTGCTTTTATAGGGGTGAGAAACGCGAAAAGCGTGAAAAGGATTTCCAACAGGCTACTGCAGATTTTCGTCAACAGATGTCCACTTCTCTGGCTCCATATTGAAGATCAAATGGCTGGCCTGTCAGGAAGAACTAGCAACAGGAAACTCTGGCGATGAATAAACCAACCAGGAGCCGATTGCTCAACAAATATGTAAGAGAAAATGGAGATGGATGGATCGGGGATACGTTGAGGAGACTGTCGAATAGCATTGCACGCCGGGCTATTGTTCGAGTGGAACCCGAATGAGAAATGACGAGTTGGGCGATTGAAGGTGACATGGAGATGAGAGACCACCATGGGCAATGATGGTGCCAGCTAAAGAGGATCTCAGAGAATAGGATAAAGTGGAGATGTGTTGTTGAAGCTCGGAATCCAGGGAACAATAATAAAATATTACTCATTTCACCAATCAGTAGTAGGTAGCTTCTAATTTGACTTGTTACTAATCCATGTGACCTTCAGAATCGAGGTAGCCAAGGTAAACATCTATGAAAGTCTTCAGTGTGTTGGCAATGGTTGACGTGACCCATGTGCCAAGTCCTCTGAATCATATAGAACTGACTGACTTGATATGAGTGTTGAAAACACGGATCTTGCTCTTTATTCTAAGTACAGGAGATTCCCATTGCTGACCTCAGATTGATGAGTGAATCGCTGTCTTGCTTTTCTAATCCTGGCTGCAACATTCTTATCCATGTCACGTCAGACCATAGTTGGGACGAAACTGCCTAGATAAGTGATTAGTACTTGTTGTTGTTGGTTGCTTGGTTGGTTATCCGTATCACCTGTGTCTTTTCCATGTTCATTTGAACTCCTGACTTCGTTGTCTGTCTCCTCCGCTAACATGTTGGTTTCGCCTGCCCGTGAGTCTTCGAGTTTGTGTGATATCAGGCACGAGTCATCCGCGAAGTCTTCTTCGCGTTGATCTACTGTATTCCTGTCGTCTTGCTCCCCACTCACCGTTTGCTGTATGATCCATTCCCCACTACAATGAAGAGTATCATCGGGGGTAGTAGGCAGTTTTATTTCACTCATGATATAAATATAAAACTGAGACACTGTGGTGGTAGAGTATAACTCCATTAGAAAGAGATAAAATTTTATTTTGATAAATCACACAGTGTTGTTATTATTGTTTATTATTAGTATTGTTTCCTTTAATTCCTAGAGGAACATAGGGCTTCAGCCGCCCAAGTCTCCATTGCGTTCGGTTCTCTGCTAAAGTTTTCACCTGGCTCCACGTCTGCCCGCATGCTTTCATCTCCTCTTCACATGACCTCCTCCAAGTCACCCTTGGACGACCAACTCGCCGCTTCCCTTTCGGGTTCCACTCGAGCAATGGCTGGTCTAATGATGTCACTCACTTAGTGGTTTCCTCAGCATATGGCCAATCCACCTCCATTTCTTCCTGCCTATTTGTTGCACAGTCGGTTCCTGCTGGGTGGGTTCTCTTACAAGGATCCCTGTTGCTGATCTTTTCTGGCCGGCCATCGGATCTTTAGTAGTATTAAGTGAAGACAACTGTTGATGAAGGTCTGTAGTTTGTTTGAGGTACTCTTCATGACGCGGTGCCAAGTCTCTGATCCTTATAGTAGCACTGACTGACCTCACATTGAAGTTGAAAATCCGGATCTTATTTTCCAGGCTGAGTGCTGTTGACCTCCATACAGACTTAAGAGAAATGAAAGCTCGTCTTGCTTTCCCGACCCTCGTTTCTTTGATATCCTCTTCAGTTCTGCCTATAACTGAAACGATCCTTACCAGCAAGGGGAGGTAAAGGAGGTTGTTTCTTTCAGGTTCCTCCCACTTATGCTTACTGTTGTCTATTGTTGTTGCTGTTGGTGTTGCCCGGGAATCTTCATCACCTCTGTTTTCTCTATGTTTACATAAAGGAAGTCCTATCTTTGATGCTCCTTCAACCAACTTGTTGCTGTTCACTTGCATATCTTCCAGTTTGTGAGAAATCAGACATATATCATCATCGGTGAAGTCCAGATCCTCCAAGTTTTTTTGTGTGAGTACATTTTATGCCTGTTTCCTCACTGCCTGCTATCTATTGCATTATCCAATCTACTGCAATCAGGAAAATCATTGGCGATAGTAGACAGCCTTGTCTTACTCTGGTCACAAGACAAGCTCGTATACCATTAAGCCGCTGAGACTCCAGTGTTGTTACAAAGTAATATTAAATGATGACTACGTTTCAAACACAATTTATTCCTGCTCATAATCATATCAAGTTACTCACACAACCTTTTTCCTTCATCTATATACATGAGTCGAATTGATTAGATAGTTGAATAAATATCACTATAGGATAATGTACATTCAGAAATGATAGTAATATGAGTGTTATTGATCAATTACAATCAAATGGGAAATAAGACGAGTGTTTTTATAGTCATTATAAGTCACTTGTTAGAATGTTGTGATATGCTTGAATTGAAATAGAATTTTGAGATTATTCATTATCCTCCTCTGATTTGACTGACTGACTGACTGGTGGTAATAATATCTTCCACGCATATCTGTGGTATTTGCATTGAGTCACTTCTGTTGCATGTGTTGGGTGTAGACTCGATGAATCAGGATCCAGTAATTAATTTTTCTCACTCTCCACCTACCTAGATTACTTTTTAGAATTTTAACCCTCTCCAATCCTATTGGGTGGTTGTGTGTTAATGCATGCCGTGCAATCGCTGAGGTTTTTTCTAAATTACTTATCTTCTTTGGGTCAACCATTCTTAACTTACTCCAATTCTTATGTTCCGCCAATGTGACTACCCCTGACTTACTGGTTTGACCTATGTAGTTGACTTAACACACAGTCATTGCAAGCTTTTTGTAAATTATATTATTTTGTCTAATTGGGTTAGCCTACAGGGTCCTTTAATCCACAGGGCTTGTCCTGCCTGAGTGAGTTCGTAGGTTTGAATGGCACTCTAATTCCTGCTTTATTGAGAATCTTACTTAGGTAGTGTCCCAGATGTCCCCTCCTTATATGGTAAAGCTACTGTAGATGCCTTATATTCTTTGTTATTTATGTTATCATTATTAGCTTCATCACTGCTTTTGTTTTACTTTTTACTTTTTTTTTGATATTCCTAATGAATATTATAGGATAGTTAGTTATTTAACACCAACGCGCTTCGTCTTCTCCTTCTATCTGTTTCATTTCATCGTTTAAGTCATTTCACTCTTCACTTATCTTCACTTCAAAGGCTTTGCTGATGAGATCTCCATGTATATGGGTGGATCACTCATATTGCATATTTCAACATTTTTGCGCGCCAATAACAATTGTATATCTTCACTTCAATTAATTTAAAAGATGATTCAATTAATTTCATATTACTCTTTTATTTTCAATAAAATGATTTATTTTATTTTTCACTAATTCTCAAGTTAATAATTTAATTACTCAATTAAAATTTGCATTTTTTTCTTCATTTTTTCTTTCGATTACGTGCGTGCGTGTGCGACTGCGTTTGTCTATGCACATCATACACACACACACACATCAGCCTACTATGTAGGTCTCTCCGATCTAGTAGCCAGTTTTAAACAACCTAATGTATGCGATTTCAAAATGGGTACAATCACATATCTCCCGGGTTCTTCTGAAGATAAAATATCCAGAGAAAAGTTTAAATATGCATGGCGTCGTAAACTTGGCTTCCTACTGTCTGGTATGCAAGTGAGTCACATTGGTTTTTTGTTTTGTTTTTCGTTTATGCTAATGTATAGGTGGTGGTATAGTTAGTATTCCTGTATTTTAAGTGTTTTTTTTGTTGAGATGACTTGTGTACTACTCATAACCATGGATATATAAGTAGTATACGGTGCAAGAACTTTTGGAGAGGACAAATGCTCGGCAATGATTACATTCTCTAGTGTCAGTCGCACTTTATCGTGAATTGGCAGAAATCAGAATTCATAAACCAGCCATTGGATCGGGTCCCCAGCGGCTTAATTGTCGACGAGCTTACTTGCCTTGTAACCGGAAGGTTCTGGATCCGAATCTCGGTGGGTGTGTACTGCTGAGTATTCACAAACTACGAGTACTCCCAGTTGGTTTCGCAATGGTTCTCTAACCGATGTTAGCTCATGATGAAATTCTGTAGCCAATCAAATCAATGGTTGGGATACTGCCGAGACTCCCAAACCGAAGTTAGTGGTCACTCACCCTAAGGACCTTTGACCTGAAGTCTGATCCTTACACAAAACAATGGAGCAGCGTCATGAGTTTCGTTCCCGAGGTTGCCGGTGATCAAAACAGATTCATACTACATTCGATCCGTTCGGATTGTGGAGCCCTTGTACACAATGTGTTTGACACCAAGGCTATACAACACCGCACCAGTTAGAATGTAAGCACCAGATGTTCGAATTCACGCCTTTCGATTTTGTAAGGAACATCCACTGTGACGCTTGGAGTTGCGGATAGGGTTTATCTGGGAGAGACTATCAGGGCGTGGTCAAATGACAGAATTTTGACAGGCAGACCGAAGTCTCTATACCCTCAGTTTTATCTCTGGGGGCTATAGTACTCCCCATGACTCTCCCACCCCAAGAAGATGAATCCAAGACTGTAGCCGACAGAACTGTTATAGAAAAGAGAAGAAATAGTGAGCTGTGAACTACTGGATACCATTATTAATCGGTGAAATGGTATTATTTGTTCAGATAAACCACTTATCTCCCCTCTGGTAGGCTCGTTTCCGACAATACGTGATATTGAAGTCTTCATTAGTTGTTAGCTTAAGTTATCTGTTATTAGGCTTTGGTCTTTAAATTGATTAATATCGGGGTTCAAATGTCAGTTAGAAGGCCATCACTCCCTGTTGGAGGTACAATTACATTTATCTGATGAGATTCCCAAACAGGAAGAAGTATTGCTAACCTTTAGACATCGTCAAAGAGTCTGCACTAGTGTCATGGCGGAAGATAAGACAGAGAGCTGCTAACGAACCTTCTTATTGAGGAGAAGCAAAATAATTGTGCGAAGAATATCTTTTTCGATAAGTCCCTCTTCTAGCTCTACAGTTACATACGTATATGTTTATATACATAGAATATTCTAGAATAGTAGTTAATTACAATGTTGGTGTTTTTTAAATAATATCGATTTGTTAAGTTAGATCACAACGGAATTACAGTTCATTAAAGGTGCTTAAGTAATAATAATAAAGATATAGTAGCAAATAGAATATCAACTAAAATTAGAAAAATTCGACAAAAATTCAAGATCATTCAAACCTAGATGGCCAAGGTAAGGATAATGTCCGAATTAACTTCTTTTGGATGTACAAATTAGGCTTGTTAATATGGATCCCGACAACCAGTCTCAGCAATATGTAGTAGACGAACTCTTAAGGTGAAGCTAAGATTTGTTGGCATGAGGTAAATGACTTCAAAAGCTGTCTCGTGGACACCAGTCTAGTGTTCTGTATCCACAAGATAAGATAGAATAGCGTTATGAATGGATTTTATTTGTCCTTTACTTAACCACTGTCTGTCTGTCTGTTTTCGACATAGAACTTTGCACCGATGTGCATCAGTTCAAGTCGCCACACTCCCTCCATGTAGCATACAAAGCAAGAGAAGGAAGTAGAAGAAATGCATAATAGAGACAGTGAACAGAGGTGTGAGACAAAGGAATAGTGACAATGAAGAACTAAACAGTTTCATTGGAAATTATGAGTTACAAGGAGTGGATGCATCTGCGCCAGCCATTGAAAACAACGATTTTGAGCCATATTACCATATATTTCCAGCCATTGGTTTTTACGTCCCAATGACCTCAGCCAGTCAGGAAGTCTACACCTTCCTACGTGACTTAGACTAATTGTTGTAGATTTCATTGACTGATGAAGCCATATTTTGGTTTGACCGCCGCTAGGTAGCTCTTTTCCAGCCTGACCCTATGTCAGCTAACATTGCCCATTGTCGAGGAAGGCGTTGACTAGGCAGGTATGCGTAACACATGTCCTAACCATCTCAGTCAATGTAATTTCACAGCCTCGTCGATTGATTTCCCCTCCTTACCTAGCACTCGACCAATACCTAACCTCAATATTGCTCACCTTATTATACCACTTCACACGGGAAATAGAATTCAGGCACCTATGATCGAAGACAGCTAATCTTTTCATGTCTTCCACTCTCAATAGCCAGGTCTCGAATAAGTACCATTAGCCCCAACTTTACCACTATGCAGGGTGATGTTCGGATATTCGACGGTAAATAAGCCTAATTGTACTGCTTATATAACTGGCTCCACAGGAGCAGTCAAGTCGGTTGATGCACATAAAAGAGGCGAAATTAGGCAGTTTATCTTTGACTCCAGAACACAAGATAGGAGTGGTCTTGAAGTTACAGCGTAATTCAGCAGCAGGGAATCCTCTTTTTACTGCATTCCTAAGACGCTGTGGTAATGTGTCGCTGATGTTATCTCCGAAGAATTGAAATATGTGAAAATAAGGCCTTCCTTTTTCGGAACTTTTGGTACTCCGAGCTGCCTTGATTTTTGATTCATATTCTTATCAATAAACTTTTCTGGATAACCATTTTCAATCAGCAACCCTTTAATATTATTAAGTTCTTCATCAAGACATTCATCCGAGGAGATTGCTCTTGCTTTGTGGTGAACCAAGCACTTTGTCAGATTGCGTTTGTATTTCAAGGGCACGAAGTTGAGAAAATGAGTATACCGACAGTCAGTTGGTGTAGATTTTCCATATACACTTCTTATTGCGCCATCCTCTTTTCTGGTCATAAGGACGTCTAGAAATGAAATCCCAGGGGCGTCTTCTTTCTCAGTAGTAAAATTTATTGCAGGATGAACCTTGTTAAATTTATCCAGGATGTTCCTTGCTTCATCCTCATTGTTTTCATAATCAAAAATGTATCATCCATGTACATCGACAGTAGAATTCTAGTTCATATTTTTTTTACATTCTTACCCACCCACATAAAAGTTCACCTGCGACAGTGAAGAATAGATTCTACTGATTGGTTGACAATCAACTCAAGGTTAAACAAGTTATCCAATGAGATTATTTCATGACCACAATGCACAAACCTTTACAAACAATGACTTAAAATGTTGATTTCAATTTTCTACTCCTTTCTATCAATTTGCGTCTATATACTACTGGTGGGAAATCTTGTCAGTAGTACAAACGCACTGCACTATGAGTGTTGCCATATCAATAGTGCAAATATAAATCAGTCAAATGGCAGTATAATATATGTCCCTCATTTTTGTTTCTCAATTTTTTTAAGGTTTACGATCCAAGAACACATTGTATGATCAAGTTGCCTAAGGCATTTGGACGTAATTTAAATCCAGAACAAGTTTATTCCGTTGGTAAGTTCATTGTGTAGGTGTTGAATTATTTTGATGAAATGTTTCTACAATTATCATTGTTGACATTTGTAAAATCTCAGCGATATTGAAATGAGTAATTCCAACGTTTCCTACGTTCGTCGCAATCTGGTCCGAAATTCTTCAGGGAAATTAATCGAAATTAACATAACAGGTTTATATATAAAAGAACATCTCTTATTTTTAAAAACTTTGTCCAATCATGATTCATAGAACAAGTATCAACAAGTATAATAAACAAAATTGTACGAGTTGTGATCAAAATTTGACCTCAGACTTACAAATATTGATCTACCTTTGTTAAACACTTTAAACACAGTGTGTATGAATGTGTGTGTGTGGATAAACATTTGTAAAACAATGTCTTAACGTCTCCATAAGTAGACATAGACAGTCGGGAAACTTTGACCAAGTATTATTAGTTAGTGATACATATCCATTTTTATTTATTAATCAGGATTTCCTGTGCATCAGCTAACACACATCACACCTTCATGTCTCTTCAAACTGTTCCTATCTAGAATTTTATGATTAGACGTATTTTCAAAATTATGGTGTTTAGGATTAGAGTTTAGTTGAAGAGTACCCTGTCAAACTTATTACTTTGTCTTTTTTCTGAAAATTGAGCTGCTTTATTCGACCTACTGAAGTTGTCAGTTGACTGGACAGCTACGAATTTAGGATATGCATTCTGTTGCAGACAACGGAGAGTGGAAACACGATGATTGTGCCAATTACATAGTTGTTTTTTGTTAATTTAATTCGATTACATAATAAATCAAATGAACTGTAGTCAAGATTTGACAGAATAGTTCTATAATATTTGAGCGCCGAGTGAGAAGTAGACATTTGTAAAATGTCGACGACATTGAAATGAGTAATTCCAATAAACCTGTTATGTTAATTTCTATTAATTTCCCTAAAGAAGTTCGGACCAGATTGCGACGAACGTAGGAAACGTTGGAATTACTCATTTCAATATCGCTGAGATTGTACAAATATAATTTTTTTTTTACAAATGTCTACTTCTCACTCGGCGCCCAAATATTATAAAACTATTCTGTCAAATCTTGACTACAGTTCATTTCAATTATCATTGTTGTTAGTCTTTTGTGTTCTGGGTGGAGTAAAAGCCTTCAGTTGGTCTTCGTCATTCCATCTTGCTCCCACGAGTGCCTATAAACTCCCTTGCATTTCTTCCTCACACACACACACGCTGCCTAACTAGTTTCCCATTCAGGTTCGGCTCGACGACCAGCCCAGTGCGTCGTGGTGTCACTCAACTCAACAAACACGAGAGAGCCAGGCAGGCTTTAGACCAGGAAGAGGGTGTATTGATCATATCTTCACCCTCCGACAGATTCTAGAACATAGGCATTCCTACCGGCGTCCAACAGTCATTATATTTCTTGACCTAAAGGCGGCATTCGACTCTGTCGATCGGGAAGTTCTCTGGAGATGCTTGGCTGTTAAGGGAATTCCAAGAAAATATATTGCACTGATTAAGGCACTCTACTCGTACTCATACAGCCAGGTGAGGGCTTACGGCGAGCTGTCATCTGAACTGATGACGACTAATGGTGTCCGTCAAGGATGCCCATTATCTCCTTTTCTATTCAACTTCATCATAGATGTGTTAATGGACTTTACCCTAGGTGACTTCAGTGACTCAGGGATTGACTTGCTACTGGGGAATAATCTCGTTGACTTGGAATATGCAGACGATATAGTCCTTCTAGGCGAAGACGCTGACGAAATGCAGAGTCTTCTAAACACCTTGAGCTGCAATCTACGAATGTTTGGGATGCGATTCGCTCCCGCCAAATGCAAGATGATGTTACAGGACTGGACGACATCGACGCCTAGTTTAAAAATAGGAAGTGAAGTGGTAGAGCACGTTGACCGCTTCACTTATTTGGGAAGTACCATCAGCCAGCGCCAACGGGTTGATCTCTGACGAAATCTCAGCACGAATACAGGGGGCTCGTTTCGCATTTGCCAGTTTACGCCGACTCTGGCGTAGACGAGATGTTCGACTATCGACCAAAGGGCGGGTGTACTGCTCATCAGTCCGCTCCGTCCTCCTTTATGGTTGTGAGACCTGGCCACTGAGAGTGGAAGACATGAAAAGACTAGCTGTCTTTGATCATAGGTGCCTGCGTTCTATTTCCCGTGTAAAGTGGCATAATAAGGTGAGCAACATGGAGGTTAGGCGCAGAGTTCTAGGTAAACAAGGGAAATCAATCGACGAAGTCGTGAAGCTACAAAGACTGAGATGGTTAGGACATGTGTTACGTATGCCAAGCCATCGCCTCCCTCGACGAGCTATGTTAGCGGATATAGGGTCAGACTGGAATAAAGCTAGCGGCGGTCAAACAAAAACTTGGCATCAGTCAATGAAATCCACAACAGTTGGTCTAAGCCACGTAGAAACGTGTAGACTTCCAGACTGGGGTCCTCGGGACGGTAAAAATCTATGGTTGGAAACAATTGGTGACATGGCTCAAAATCGTTCTCAGTGGCGCAGATGCATCCACTCCCTGTGACTTATGATCTTCAATGAAACTGTTTTGTATTTCTTTATTACTCCTTTGTCTCACACCTCTGCTCACTGTTTCTATTATGCTTTTCTTGTACTTTCTTCTCTTGCTTCGCGTGCTACACGGAATGTGGCGACTTGAACTTCCGCACATTTGTGCAAAGTTCTATGTCGAAAACAGACAGACAGACAACTGTCAGTGTGTTGTCTGTCCACTAATCCATCTCCATTGCCTTCATCACTCTGAAATCAGTTGGGAAATCTTCTGCACTCAGTCAGCCAGCATAAAGAACATGGTTGGGATTTTCATCATAGATGTTAAATTACTCTGTTCTTCTATATAGGGGTCTAAAACATATCGAATACGTCACGAGCAACATTTCCAACAGGGTAGTGCGGATTTTTATCAACAGCTACCAGCTTCTCGATGACTTCATATTGAAGATCAAATCGTTGACCGGCCAACCAAAAAGAATTAGCTGTCGAATGACATCGTGAACCGGCCAGACACCATCACCCTAGTGGAATCTTAATGGGAAACAACGAGTTAGGCGTCCGAGGGTGACATGGAGGGGATGCGAGACTATTGAAAGTCGTAAGGCCAGCTAAAAACAGGACTTCAGAAAATAGGATGAAGATGTACCAATGAAGTCCGATGTTCTACTGGGAAGCCGAAGGAACAATAATAATAATAATATATTTGTCTGGTAAATACATTGTTGGGTTGGTTGTTTGCCTGTCAATTACTTAATTGAGTCCTTGTGAAGTCTTGGAACTGTATATTGAAACATTCAGATCATGTTCCTGATCATATTAAGGTGAGTTGAAGTACCAGTGCAATAAGAGGAGACAAGGGACTTGGTATTGGACCCATTTCATTGAGAAAAACACACTATATATATACATTTTGAACTACATTTTTGTAGTCATCTAGGTCAGTGGATAGATGAACTGTCCTGATTGGTTGTCAATTTCCTTGAGATTATTTCCTGACCAAAACGTAGACTAAATCCAATTTTGACAAATAAACACTTCTACTCCCTCTAGCCACTAACTTAAAACATTGTTTCCGATTCTGCCTACTTTTTACCAATCTGTGTTTATATACTACTGATAAATCTCTTCAGTAGCACACGTCTACGTAATGCATACTAATTAATTAATTTATGAAAATTTCAAGTATCAATATAAAAATCCACTAATAATTTTTATTAAATAATAATTGTTCTGTTAATAGGCCTTTTTTTATATTGGTCACACTTATTTTCCTTTTTTCTCCCCCTAACTCTTATATAATAAAATATACAATGTACGCTATGTTAACTGTCATAGTATGAAAAGTCCATTATCTGTTAAAACTAAAGTAGTAATAAGAATAACGCCTTAACTTATTTGTGTACACCTTCAATTTGCTTTTGAATTCATTTTCAAGGTCATTTTTTGCTTTAAATAAGTGATTATATGGATTTCATCATTAGCTAACATTGGTTAGAGAACCACTGGAAAACATGGGAGTACCGGACGGCTGTTTTGTCCTAGTTTGCGACTCTTCAGCAGTACGCACCCACCAGGGTTGGAACCCAACTCATGATGAAATCCTGTAAACAATCAAGCAAATCCTTACAACCAATACTTGAATAATCGATTATATTTTCGACAGTAGCTCTGGTGTTGTTTCGTGGATTGACTGACATGAAGCAAAAACTCTTATCCTGATACACATATATACTACTAATTCATTTGAGTAGTGCTTGCTAGCACAATCAAAGCACGATGTGAATACCAGATGACCGTTTGTGCTGGTGAGGTGTACTTGAAGGAAATTCAACTGAGACAACCGAATTATCATAGTCTTATTAGATTTCAACTCAGTAGTTAAATGAATGATTACGTAATCTTGTGAAAACCTCGTAGAGCGATTGCAACTTATATACGAATTACCATTTTCTCAAGTATTGATTTTGTAGAGATTATGTTCGATTGGTTGGTGGATTTCATCATGAGCTGATATCGGTTAGAGAACCACTGAAAAACCAGTCAGGCAGTACTGGACAGCTGTCTCGTCAGCCTAGTTTGGGACTCCGCTTCAGCAGTGTGCACCCACACCACAGGGTTCGAACCCATGACCTGGTTACAAGGCTAGCCAGCTCGCAGACCATTAAGCCACTGGAACCCTATCCAAAGGCCCAATGCATGAATTCTAACGTCTACCAATTCACTACATAGCGCGACCAATTAGCAATGTCTTCTTCGATGAGTAACTATCCTCACCTTCAACCTGCTGTACCCTACTAGTTACGGCTTCACACAAGAAGAAGAAGAAGACATTCAGAAGTTAATAAAGTAGGATTTAATCATAGATTCCTCAAATTTTGGTAGAACTCGTCAGCTGAACACTCTACGTACACGAATATATATACTTTTGAAATTACATTTGGAGATATAAAACTGATAAGCAAATAAACTACATTGAATTAGTCATGCAGAAAGACACGTGCGAATGTTTAAATAGATAGGGGGAGAGAAAGTATGAGAGGTCAAAATTAAGATGAATTGCATTACACTTCAATTACATCACTTAGATAGACAATTAGTCACTAGAGAATATAACAAGAATTGCAAACAGATTAATATCAATAGTAATAGTTACAATAACAATAATAATAATAATAATAGTGTTGAAGCGAGTTAAGATAATCCTACTGATAAAGGATAGTTTTAAATGAATCAAGAATAATAACAATTAAAACGTATTACCGTGGTAGATTCAGAGCCACGACCACCTCCTTTTGTACACAGAGAACTGGTTTATAAATTCTAATTGCGCAAGCCTCTGCAATTGCAAGCATCTTGTTTCTTTGTTAGCTGACAATAGTGAATGACTTGACCGCGTCGATATCATGTCCATAATCCACAAGATATTTTGTTATTGAGGATTTTGGCATTTTCCACTCAGCTGTTTTCAACCATTTTGGCAAATGCTCCATCACGCCAGTAGACAATCGCCTTTCCGTACGACACACACTCATCAAATTGATATACGCGTCAGTTTGAAGTGTCGAGGATTGACGAGTACTGGTCTTTCCCTTGATTGCTGAAGCACTCGCTTAGTTGTGGTGTTAAGGAAAAACAAGTTTTGCAGCATAATAAGTCCTCTTGATCGCTTTATCGAGTCTTCGTTTGACTACTTCATGTACATCATCTCCTTTGAATAGCGAAATGATACAGACAGGTTTCTTCGGAACTGTTTGGATTGTTTTGCAGGGGCGTTTTGGATGAAATTTGATGAATGCATCATTAAATCCTGCTCTATTAACCTGCTTTGTTGCTTTTTTTTTAATTCGTATCGGGAAATAAATGTTTTCAATTCAGTAATTATTATTGTACTCCTATCAGAACCATTATCACAAAGAATGAAAGTATCATCAATATATATATCGGCAATAAAATTTAATTTAATTTTAATTGATTGAATTTTCTTTCTCTTCTTTTTTTTCCCCAAGGTTTGAAAACATTTCTCGGCCCAGATCCTGTATATCGTGTAGAACTTGCACACAAATATCTCATCCAACTTAGTCGTATATTACACTGGTATAAAGAATATGGTGCAGAACGGTTGACGTTTTGTCGTTCCTCCCTACTCTTCATTCATGAATCCGTAGCATCAGGATGTGAAGAATCCCCACCGTCGAACAACAACACCACCAATACGACTACCGCTAATACTACCACTACTACTAACGGCCTACGAGTAGTATCCACAAAGTTAATCGAAAAATCAAATCGTATAAATAATTCCCAGCTACTAATCCCTTCTACCACTAATGCTACTCCGATTAATGTTGCTAAAAGTAATTGTATTAATGGTTCCAATACACGTGCTCAGGTGTATCTAATTGATTTCGCCCATTGGGAAGAGAAAATTCCTCATTCCTCGATGTCGGCGGCAGTGGCGACGACATCACCACCACGACTGACGAGTAAAACTCATATCAATGACAATAATGCTGCCGAAGACGGGGAGGAGGCGGACGATAGTAGTTATTATATAACTTATGAATTAACTGAAGGCTTTCGTTATGGATTAGAAACCCTCATCAGCTTGATGCAACGTGTTGTAAATAATGGAGAGAATTAATGCAATCATCCCTATAACTTTTAGCCATTTTTTGTACGTATGTATTTATCTATGCATTGTTATTGTAGACTATTCTTCATATCTCCACAATACCACTACTAGTGAACGAACAGTACTCATTGTGTGTCTGGTTATTGCCTCATTTTTATATTCCTCTGACTTCTAAATGTGGAACACACAGGGGAGTGAAGACCTCAAGCTTCTTGAGGCCTTAAAGTCTCCATCAGCAGTGTGATATTATTCTTCTTCTTGCTAATCTCTGGGATTCGAACCCTGGACCACACCACACACACACATGAGTCAAGTATTCTACACACCACCGCTCAAATCACTATCGACAAGACACAGTTTTGTGTGTCTGGTAATATTGTATATTAGATAATTCAGCGTACCACGAATACACCCGGAGGCAAATACGTCTCCGTGCCGTTGTTTTTCTGTTATTTACCACATAAATACATATCCATTCCCTATTGTATATTTCCACCCCCTCCCGCGCTTCCTTCTTCTCCTACTCCCTTTGCATTTCTTGTCGTTACACACTATTATTATTATTGTTGTGTATTTAGGCGTTTTTTTATTTATCAATAATTTTAATCGATATCTTCGTCGTTGTTATTGTTGTCCGTTAATTAGTTAGTTAGTCAGTTAGTTAGTTATTTGTCCTCTATTTCATGCTGTTTTTTTTTCATTTCAATCTCCTTTTTCCGTCGTTTTATTATTTTTTTTTAGAAAGGAATATTCATTGATTTCTTTATTGATTGATTAACTGATCGATTGTTTATTTATTGATTTATTTATCTGTATTTTTGCTTGTTTATTATTATTATTTTATTTGACTTGATATATCGATTGTTTCTTTTTGTTTATTTATTGATTTATTTGTATAAATAAACTGAATTCGTGAAAGAGAACAATTGAATAATGTTTATTTACTTGCTTGATATTGATTTATAATATTTCATATCATGCCGACCAATTAGTCAAATATTGTCATCATTTGTACGTGTGAAATTTCATCGACTGAGATGGTTAGGACATGTGTTACGCATGCATCCCTAACCATCGATCGCCTTTCTCGACAATGGACAATGTGAGCTGATATAGAGTCAGGCTGGAAAAGAGCTAGCTAGCGGTGGTCAAACCAAAACATGGCTTCATCAGTCAATGAAATCCACAACAGTTAGTTTAAGCCTCTCAGCCACACAGGAAGGTGTAGACTTCCTGGCTGGTTGGGGTCGTCGGGACGGTGAACACCAATGGCTGGAAACAATTGGTGATTTGGCTCAAAGTGATCGTTCTCAATGGTGGTTGGCGCAGGTGTATCCATTCCTTGTGACTTATAATACCCAATGAAACTATATTGTTCTTCGGTATTACTATTCCTTTTGTCTCATATCCCTGTCTACTGTCTCTATTGTGCATTTCTTCTCTTGCTTTGTGTGCTACATGGAGGGAGTGTGGCGACTTGAACTGGTGCACATCGGTACAAAGATCTATGTTGAAAACGGACAGACAGATTTGTACGTGTGTAGGAGATATGGTGTCTGATGGACTTAAGTACTCGGTATTCATCAATCAGCCAATAGGTCTTTAGATCTAGACTCCCGTTCAGTCTGGTTATCAGTTGTTTCACGCAATAAAAGTGAGACCCATAGCCATTTGTTCCAAAAATCTGACTCCTAATGGTTGTGTGCATACATTACTTACGTATTTGACACTACAATCAGATGTCATTTACACCTTGAGAAGCGTATCTGAAGGTCAGTAACTAGCGAGTATAGGATTTACATATTGGATCTCTCGAGAGATTACTGCTACCTGAATTACTCGTTTATTTAAAAAATTGCATCAGCCCTAATCGACTGATTGCTGATGAGATCTCAGCATGGATACAAAATGTTTGTGTGTATAACATATAGAAAATCAAAAGAAGTGATTCAGGAAGAGACTCTCTCCAACAACGAATTTATTATCAAGCTGTACAATCGTATATATATATGGTTTTTAAGAAGTTATATCCGGTGAGGGAATTGAATCTTAGGTGTGAATGCATAAAATAATAATATGAAGTGCAATTATAACTAAAATGTTTGAGATTATAATCATAGTTAAATGTCAAGTGGCAAAGCAAATTAATGTCAAATATGGAATAATTCATAGGGTAGATAGGACTTCAAAAAGGATGTGCAATTATAAGATTAGTAGACAAATCGAATAAAATAAAAACATTACGTAATTTTGTGTGAAATTTGATAACATAGAATTTAACGTTGTAAAAAGGAATTGATTTAGAATGACAAGTGGAACAAGTGAAACAATACCGGGGACAGTTCAAAGAGAGAATATTAACAGTAACAATTTATGTAATAAAGGAAGAGTATACAAATTGAATAGACAAAATGAAAAATTGGTAGAGCTAAAGTATGATTGGGAATTACCATACTTTAGCATAGAGGAGGGATTAAGACTGTGAAAGTTGAAGGGGTTAAAAGAAAATTTTTGTACACAGAGATCTGTCTTCTCTATTTCGATAGCCAAAACTTCAATTACAGATGAGTCGGATACGTAGAGATTTGGGTAAATTACTCTTTGCCTTGTAAATGACTTTAAAGGCGGAGGCTGTAGAGGTGATCATTATCGACCAGATGTTCTGCTCAATGGTCGCGCTTCTTATTGCTCTACTTCCACCTCTTCGTAGCCATGCAGGATAGTGTTCTTGCACCCATCTTGGACAAAACTCGAGTCAAACGACCGATATACCTAGCTCCACACGAGCAGGTGAATTGATAAACACACATAGATTTGGTCAACAGTGGGATCTTGTTCTTCAGGTTACTGAGCAGTAATGGTCGACTAGCAAAGGCTATTCTCAGATGCAGCAGTAATGTTCTTTTCAAGACAGTGATATCTTCTTTTCATGATATCGCAAGCTAAATCACCTTTGAATTCCAAACTCATGTACAGTATTTTCTGGGTCGGGTGATAAGTCATGTTTTATAGGATTTGACTTATATTCTTGTCTATAAAACCCGGTGGATATTCACTTTCTATTCGGATTTTTCTCAAAAGGTTTAACTCATCCTCCACAGCATCAGGGCTACATATTCGCCGGAGATGAGTGGCAACCAACCGGACCAGGTTTCGTTTTCGACCAATGGGTAACCAGCTGTAGAAATTTATATAAAATTCTCCGACTTACGTCATCATTTCTGGTGTAGATTTGATGTCCAGTTGGCTGTCGATTAAAGGATGCGTGTAATGCGGAGCAGCAGTTTACCCCGTCCTCTTCTATGGCTATGAGTCATTGCCATTGAAAGTGGAACATATGCGAGTGGCTAACTGTCTTGCATTCTGCTTCCCGAGTTAAGTTTTATAATAAATTGAACAATACTGAGGGGTTAGACGTGGAGTCAATCGATGAGGCAGTGAATCTGCATTGATTGAGATGTTTTTTGGATACGTGGTGCTCAATCGCCTTCCTCAATGAGCTCTGTTAGATTAGAAACGACCTGTGGTTGGTCAAACCAAAAATTGGCATTAGTTCATGAAACCTTTGACAGTAGAGAGATGTAGACTTCTTGGTTGGGGTACTTGGAACGCTAAGAATCCTGTGGATTTAAGACGATTGGTGATCTGGCTCAAAATCATCCTCGATGGCGCAGATGTGTGTTCAATCTTTGTGACGCAGTAACTCATCGGAGAAGAAGACATTACGATGTAGTCGTGCTATGTCATGAATTGGCAGAAGTTAGAATTCATGCACTGACTGGTCATTGGATCGAGTCCTAGTGTCTGAATGGTCGTCTACGAGCTAGCTAGTCTTGTAACCGGAAGGTCCTGGGTGCGTATTCCGCTGAAGAGTCCCAAACTAGCCTGACGAAACAGCTGGCTAGTACTCCTTGGCTGATTTTGCAATGGTTCTCATGATGAAAAGTGACTTCCTTTAGATTTCTCCCGTTAATAATAGTGATTACTGCTCTTTCTTCCTGATTAGAGCTAATGTACTTCTCATTAAATTACTGTGTGGCTTATACATCTTTAACTATTATTCCATTACATTCCTTATCGTTACACTTTAAGTAGAAATAGAGGTACATCTGTTCATCTCCTCACATGATTTCGTTCGCAACATTTTCAAAGTGACCGCCAGCTTGTCGCTTTCCATTCAGGTTTCACTGATCTGGCGCTTTATGTAAATCAATAGTCTCTTCAGCGGTATGTTCAATCCATTAGCTTCTGCATACTTGTTGGGTAATACGCCGTTTCGTAGGTTCATTGATGCATATTTTCTTTTGGCCATCTGTTTTTCAGTATAGAGTGAAAGGCAACTGTTGATGAAAGTCTGCAGAAGCCTGTTCGAAATATTTTTTTTTCGGTATACCGATTCTCTCAACCCTATGGAAATCTCAGCACGAATACAAGGGGCTCGTTTCGCATTTGTTAGTTTACGCCGACTCTGGCATAGACGAGATGTTCGACTATCGACCAAAGGGCGAGTGTACTGCTCATCAGTCCGCTCCGTCCTCCTTTATGACTAGCTGTGAGTGAGACCTGGCCACTGAGAGTGGAAGACATGTAAAGGCTGACTAGCTGTCTTTGATCATAGGTGCCTGCGCTCTATTTCCCGTGTAAAGTGGCATAATAAGGTGAGCAACATGGAGGTTAGGCGTCGAGTTCTAGGTAAACTGGGGAAATCAATCGACGAAGTCGTGAAGTTACAAAGACTAAGATGGTTAGGACATGTGTTACGTATGCCTAGCCAGTCATCGCCTCCCTCGACAAGCAATGTTAGCGGATATAGGGTCAGGCTGGAAAAAGCTAGCGGCGGTCAAACAAAAACTTGGCACCAGTCAATGAAATCCACAACAGTTGGTCTAAGCCACGTAGGACGGTGTAGACTTCCAGGCTGGGGTCCTCGGGACGGTAAAAATCTATGGTTGGAAACAATTGGTGACATGGCTCAAAACCGTTCTCAGTGGCGCAGATGCATCCACTCCCTGTGACTTATGATCTTCAATGAAACTGTTTTGTGTTTCTTTATTACTCCTTTGTCTCACACCTCTGCTCACTGTTTCTATTATGCTTTTCTTGTACTTTCTTCTCTTGCTTCGCGTGCTACACGGAATGTGGCGACTTGAACTTCCGCACATTTGTGCAAAGTTCTATGTCGAAAA